GTTCAAACTCATTTTTGACGAGAATCAAACATAAGACATCTGCTTACAAATGAAGATGAATACTACTAAACTGTAGTATTAAGTGACAGGCGTTTGTGTTCAATTGATTAATAGTATTCATCCTAGCATTTGAAATCTAAATTTAATTCTCTCGTCTTACAATCATTTGAATGACAAAAGTTTGAATACGCAAAGTAAAAGATTCTCACATAAGTGAAAGAAAAAACTTTGCAAGAATTTATAAGAGGTTAGACTACTCTGCACCTTAACTTCTTCATGGTATCAGAGTAAGGTTGACCCACGTGAGAAGCCCAATGGCCAGATGTACTCCTCGTCACCTAATTCGTGTTGTCAATGTGTTTGGCTTGAAAATTCGTCACGCATGAGGGGCATATGAGGATGTAAATAATGTAAAAGAGTCACACATCATTTAAAAGAAAAACATTGCGAAGACTTATAAAAGGTTAGACTACTCTTTGAATTATCAATTAATTTTATGATAGAACCTCAATTTATTTATTATACATCTCTCTTACTTGTCTCTTGATCGTTCCTACACTCATCATTGATCGATCACACAATGAGTTATAGTACATTTTTCTTATCTCAAACGCAACTGATTTTAACACACCTCTAATTTGAAACTAAAGAACACATTAAGGTTAGTGCCCTACAGCCCTTGGGCTTTTTATCTACTAAAGGACATTGGTACGCAGTTTTGTTGTATGTAAAATTCGAAACAAGTCGGTGACCGTGACTAGGGATTTGGTGCCAGCTGCGGTATCAACTTCCCAACTGCTGCTTGCCAAAAGTTTCACCCAAGGCCAAAATCCATAAATAATGCCACGTGGGCGGCTAGGATGCAATCATTACAACGATTGTGTTCAGATTGTGGGAGCTCCCCTACTGAGCTTGTCCGCGCGTGCTTCTCAGGTCTCTCGCCACAAAATTTGAAAATTACTAAAAAAACTGATACTTGTACGGCGGTGGGGTGGCGTACGTACGTACGTAGCATTTTGTTTGTCACGTAAATGCATGCATGCACAATTCCGTTGATTGCGTTCTTAGAAAACAATAAAGGCATTATTATCCTCATGATCACTTAGCTTACCCTTTCATCATTCCATTGTTGTAACTTCACATCTCTATCATGTTTGAGATGTATCTTCTCATAGAAATTAGAACTCTCACTAATGTGCCAACTTGCAAGGCGTCCATTCAATTAGCTTTTTCCTTTAGGTAAAAAATATTTCATTTAAAGAGAAACCTCGGTAACACTCAAGACCTCTAGAGTGATATAAAAGACCGTTCCTAACTTGTTGAGGAATACAATCATCCCAAATACACAAATTATTGCAATTGTGTCCAATAGAAGTAATATAATCAGCAGCAAAGTTTGCTTCTCTATAGACGTGGTTCCACTTCACCCAGTCAATGGAGGAAGCCAGTCATGATTCTCCAACGTACTGCTTCCCACATCAATGACAATGTTCAAGTAGCCCTCAACTATGACCTTCCTGATTCAGTGCTGTTTGGTTAAATTCAATTTTTGTCATTTTTCTTTTTCTCTATAGATTTTATCGACTACTATTTTATTAAGAAATTTTATCATTGTATCAGAAATTGAATTATTAAATCTAATTATAAACATTAAACGAATTCGTCATTTAAAAGATTTGAACGTGTTTCGTGAGATTATAAATTGATCGATCGACAATCACTTTCCACGTTTTGCACTGGACAACAAAACAATCGAAAATGTTTTGGGGTGTAAAGTGAAGGTGATGCTCGACGAGGATGAGTAGGGGGAAGTGAGCTTTATTAGACGAGAGCCTCAAAAGTCAAAGACGGGATTCAACTGGAATCACGTGAGATTCTTACAGCCTGGGAGTGGGGCCTTCCTACGTGGAAGACGTTGAAGTCATCCTTAATCTTAATTTTTGTAATTTACATGTAGGCCCTTCCCTTTTATCGGGGTTTGCTTTTTAGGACAGGTTCGATCAGAAGCCGTTGATTTCAGTGACTCTATAGGCTCTAGGGGTTGACTGACGGGGACCTTTATCTACAGCTGTTAAATTGGTGGTAGGCTATAAAAAAATTTAAAAAATAAAATAAAATCTGTGGCTAAAAAGTGGTCAAAAAAGTCCGTTGGGCCCCAGTCGCCGTTCTAAAACGTTTGTGTTGTGTATAACAGCTTTGCGTTTCCTGTCATGTGTTAAACGCTCCCTAATTTATAAGTACTCACGCTTCTTGTCCCATGTGAGAATGATTTTATTACTTTTTATTTTCGTTTTATTTTCTCATTCTTGCTCCTCTCTAATTACAATGGCTCAATTTCTCATTACCTCGCACGATAAATGATTCTAAGATCAGTCGTTAAATCGGCTTATGTGCGTATGCACGACTAATTTTTTCAAACGGTGTTGAAAAATGTCCAAAGTTATAGCAATCAATCACGTAACAAGTAAGACAAAATCGACTAATGTAAGGATAAACGACTTTTTCAACTCTACTTGCACAATCTCATAATTCAACCACATGCGTATATACCTAACAATACTTATTTATTCCTGCTCAAAAAAAAAAAACAATACTTATGTATTTATTAAAGGAGATTTAAGTTAAATCTCTTAAATTAGTAGCCGGGTCAGAATTTTATAACAATGGAGTCACATTTTGACATAAAAAACTTCATTAGATCATTTTGTCGAGCTTCTGATGTATACATGCTGAATTATGTCGCATTCTATCGATTTTTGCTAAGGACTATCGAGTGACCTTTTTATTGAACATTTGTTGCACCATACGGTCGCACACAAGAAATAAGAGAAGAAAAACAAAGGAAAGAAAAGAGAAAATTTACAAGTCACTAAACATGGGGTTGCAGAAAAGAAGCAGTAGTTTATAATTAAGTATTTTTGAATCATTCTTTTAATTTACCGCAATTGTGTATATGGATCATATACAAATACAAAGATATATATACATTAGGGTTATGAAGATATTGGGGACATAAGAAGTCAATGACAGTGCGACACGTGTCGACATCAGAAGCCAATCATAGTGCGACACGTGTTAACATCAGAAGCCAATCACAACACGACACGTGTCAATGTCAGAGCAAAGCTATAAACTCTCTTCTATAAAAGGAGATCATTCTCCCATAATATTTCCTAATGTCATTTGTACTAAATCATTCACTAGTACTCACAAAATGAGAGCTTGAACCTATGTACTTATGTAATCCCTTCACAATTAATGAGAACTCCTCTACTCCGTGGACGTAGCCAATCTGGATGAACCACGTACATCTTGTATTTGCTTCCCTGTCTCTATCCATTTAAATACTTATCCACACTAGTGACCGGAGCAATCTAGCGAAAGTAAAAAACTTAACAGTTTCTGTTGTACCTAAGTCCTCACTAATTTTGTGCATCAACACCTCTCATAAACCAATTAAAGCAGTTGAATTCACATAATAAAATCGGTCTATATAGAATTTACATTAAGAATAGAGAAAATAATATTTAACAAACAATTGATTGAATCACATTATTGCTAGCCCATTATGAGGCTAAGCTCATTCCATTCCCCTCACCCTTAGTGTAGATAATATTGTAAAAAAAAAAAAACAATTATTTGACAATTAATTTAATCACAATATTATTCGCGTACGAAAGACTTTTTTTTATAACCGGCATTACGCGCCTCTTAAGATGTTTTGAACGTGTTTAAAAATAGAGAAAATAATATTTAATAAATAACTGATTGAATCACATTATTGCTAGCCCGTTGTGAGGCTAAGCCTACCCCCTCCCCCTTAGTGTAGATAATATCGTTTGTTAAAAAATAATAATATTCATTTGACAACTTATTTAATCTCATTATTATCTGTGTGCGAAATACTTTTTTTATAACCGGCATTACATGTCTCTTAAGATGTTTTAAACGTGTTTAAAAATAGAGAAATTAAATCACATTATTGCTAGCCTATTGTGAGGCACTAATTAAAAAAAAGTACCAAAACATTAATTATTAAAAAAGCATTGTTAAAATGATGAAAATACCCCTACCGTATTTGACACATTATTTTGGGATGCCTTTAAAGTTTTTGATCTTGAAAACATTTTTATCCAAATATTTTTGTCAAAGTTTGGTGACACAAAATCATCATTCACGTTTTGTATTCTCTTTTATAGAGGAGGGTACATACGAGGTAACCTTCATGATTCATTACGAAGACAATACTACAAAAATAAGTCAAACATTTCACAATCACCCATCCCAATCAGACGTGGTTTATATTAAATTATTAATTCAGTTTTAGTTACATTTCTAATTTTTTTTAGTTTAAAATATAGAAAAACTAATCAAAAAGGTTTTAAAATTTTAAGTTTTAACGATAAGAGTAAAATAAATAGTAAAATGATTGACTTTTTAGTGTAAAAATATGATTCTTCATTAAAATAAACTGTACCAAAAATTTTTCGTTAAAATTTCCTTAAAATATATACATATAGGATATATATCAGAAATTTAGAACACGAGCAGCTCTAAATCTAGATAATAACATGCATAAAACGCAAGTTAGTGTTAATTCTGGACACATATCATATTTTAGTTAGATTATTCAAACCGTTCAGCATTATTATATGACAAGACAAATCACATACGATAAATTTGTGAGGGATTGATTTGACCTCGCTGCCTAATTTACACAAAATTCACGTGTTGCATAAACTTGATTGATAATATCACGTTGAACAAGACACACAATTCGAAATTTTAAAATTTGATCTAATGTTTAAAATTATTATAATTTTTAAAAAGAACTTATGTTTGTAATTGTTTGATCAAATTTTAAAGTTTAAATTATGTGATTTTATAGACTTGGTGGAAAGAGATCCTTTCCCAAAACATGACAGCTCACATTGTCTCAATATATCGGGGGAAGCCCGAAATGGTAAATGAACAAAACCAGAGGCTCCAGAGAAGGAAAAGAAAATCCGGAAAAATAAATATACGATGACATAAAACAAGGGGTGCGCATGTACGCACTCGGTTCAAGTTAGCAAACCCGCCCACTTTACAAACACCAGTTTCGTGGAAGTACCCTTCTCCTCTCCTCTCTATCTTCCATAAAAAAATGCTCACAAGTGCATGCACCTCGCCCCTAAATATAACACCCAAAACACAACCTTTCTCTCATTCACACCTCCTCCTCCTTTCTCTCTCTCTCTCTCTCTCTCTCTTGCACTCACTCCTCACTCAGCTCGAACAAACACCATCACTATTTCCATGGAAGCGATGAATATGTGCTCGTCATCTACTTCGTCTTCCGGCACTTCCTCGTCTGAGTCTTCCCTCCGGAGAAATCCCAACAAGCCCGAACGAATCAAGGGCCCGTGGAGCGCTGAGGAGGACCGGGTCCTGACCCAGCTCGTCGACCGCTACGGGCCTAGAAACTGGTCATTGATAAGCCGGTACATAAAAGGTCGATCTGGGAAGTCGTGCAGGCTCAGGTGGTGCAACCAGCTGAGTCCCAGCGTCCAGCATCGACCCTTCTCTCAGGCCGAGGACGAGACCATCTTGGCCGCACACGCTCGGTTCGGAAACAGGTGGGCCACCATTGCCCGCCTGCTTCCGGGTCGAACTGACAACGCGGTGAAAAATCACTGGAACTCGACGTTGAAGCGGAGGGTCAGGGGAGATCAACTAACGGAGGGTGGTAGTTTTGGGGGCGGCGGCGGCGGCAATGTGAGTAGTAATGAGGGGATGAGCACGAGTTCGGTTTCCGGATCTTTGGCCAATGGGTCGATGGAGTTTGACCCGTTGACGGAGTTGACTTTGGCACCGCCGGGGATTGGTAGCGGAAGCGGCGGGGCGATGGTGGGGGAACAGCAGAGGAATAATGAGAGTGTGCCGTCGGGGTTTTGGGACGCGATGAGGGATGTGATCGCTAGGGAGGTTAGAGATTACGTGGCGACAACATTTTCAGAGCCTTCGGAGCTTCATAGATTAAATTAATCATGTTTTTAATTTTCTGATTATGTTTTTGTTAATATGTTGGCTTCGATTAATTCTCAGAGGCAAAAAATGTGAGATTTTCGAATGAACATAATTTTAAAAAATATTTGAAATTATGAAATTGTAGTTCTGTTGAAAGTGGTGTTTCCAGCCTGTCACCAACGAACAAGTGGAAGCTGAATGGAAAAGACAAGTAAGTGGAGGATGTTATATAAAATTTCTGTTCACTGACATATGATATTGTTGAGATGATTTAAAATACTGTCAAGTAGATTTTAGAATATCTCGTTTCCTCACATTTATCGAAAATCAACTTTGTGGCGAATGTGTTCGATTGTGTGGATCATTCTTCTTGTCTATGAAGCTTCGGTGGAATCTTCCTATTGAGGCGAGATCAACTTAATTTTTGAGATTTTCATAATTTTAGATGCCCGATGGATTTTGTTGTTGTAATTCAATTACTTTTTTTGTTTTCAAAGTGTTGATCAAATCGTTCGGACAATTTTACATGTTGTACATGTTCGTATGACAATTTTCAAAACCTTGAGATTGTCTGTCACAGGAACACGTACTAACATAAAAAACATTGTGTGAACGGTGAATTAATCATGTAATATATGTTCGTATGCCAGTTTTGCCGTAACTAATTTGGTATGAGTGGGAATTTAGGTATAAATATGGACTAGACGTTTGCATAATATATTAACAATTTTGGTAGCTAATGAAATTCCAGCTGCTGAGAGAATATAATTAGTTTATAGCATGTTGTGTTCATCCATTGAATTGATACACGGAAGAAAAGTTAGGATAAGAATGTATTATTATGCAATACCAACGAACGCTAACGGCTAATCACCACGGAGTGGTTTAGTGGTTGGAGATGAATTTTAGACTTGTATTTTATATAGTATGTTGAATTTTAGACTTGTATTTTATATAGTATGTCTTGGGTTTGATTACTGCCGAAGTCTTCTCTGCCGCGGAATGGTAGAATGTCATGGCGAAGCCACTAGCTGATCTTTTATTTTATTAATTAATTTTATTAATTTTTTATTTTTTATAACATAACAATATCATCTACATTAAAGGGCTAAACCTTACAATGAGCTAATAATAATGTGGTTCCAATTCACATTTGCCGAGAATTGAACCTAAGACCTCTTACATACAAATGAAGAGATATACCACTAGAATAATACTAAGTATAATACTAAGTGTGACCAACTTAGTACCTGAATATTGATGGAAAAATGAGCATATTATTTATTACATCATAATTAACAAATAAATTGGGTAAAGATTTCCAAGAATTTGACTATATACATAAATGAGTCCATTTATTTATCTTCAATCATACATGAATGGAAAATATTATGGAAACAAGATTTTTTCTAGGTAACGAGAATAAAGTATCGTCTTCTACTCTGGATACACTCCTAAAGAACTCCCTAGTTGGTGTGTAGCAGAATTAAAAACGCGCAATTCTGGTTGCCTGGATCAGTTCCACAACTTGTGCAACCATTAAATCAATACAAATGACATGAGAACTGAGGATTTTTTTTCTTCAAGAGTTGAGATTTGTACCATTCAGAATCAAACTGCAATATGTTTCATGTTTCCAAATAAAAACAAATTCAAACTCTTTGAAAAACGATTTAACACCCACCACCACTGACTTCTAATATATTTGAAAACTAAGTACGAAAGGACTTTTCACCATCTTTTCTTCCACTGGGGGAAAAGCTAACAAAGCATACGTACGATCGAATAGCGGCACCTTGTTTTGGCGGGTTTGATGGGAAAGCAAACTGTCACTCGCATTGAAAAGTCGTGTTCCCCACTTCTGCTTCTACAGAAGCACTTTTGGATTTGTATAAGCAATTCATGAATGCACGGTCTGCATGTTTTAAATGTGTATGCCAAACCTCCATCGTAGAAAAGGCTTTCTTGAATGTGATGTGTGTCATATGAGTAAAAGAAACTGTTACAAAAATTTCTGGACTGTTAAAAAGGCCCATAAGGCCGAAGGCATAACTACAATACGAGGTAGCCTGTACGAGACAAAGATGCAGGAGGCCCACCCATTATGAGAGAGATTGTCGGATGCGATTAGGGTTGTAAATCGATTAGAAACAATTCGAGTTAGTATTCGACTCGGTTCCTATTTGAATCGTCGAAGCTTAACTCATCATAGAAACAAGCCAAGTCTGGTTTGACTGGATTAAGAAGCAAGCCAGACTGGAACATTAGTATTTTATAACAATTATCGTATGGCGCCTCGCAATGTAAACGAGGCTAGGATCATGAGTCCCAACCATAACGAGAGAGTGCCGGATACAGACAGTTCAACTCTTACTTAGAAATCTCATATTGAGTAATGCTCGGAGGACCAGATATGTTAAATATGAACTAATCATTTAGACCAGAGTAAATGTAATCAATGATTCAGATTCACAGTTTGACAACATAAACATATGAAAGATTCAAATAGTCTAGCTAGCAAGAGAACATTTTCCTTGAGCTGAACTTTTCTTTTTCTGTTTTGTTTTACTGGAACGTAAGATAAATTTCAAACAAACCAAATCATCTTTATTGCGAACATGAAACTCAACAAAGAAAGACAAATTAATCAAGCAAATTTCCACCTACAAGTATCATTGGGGAAATTATTTATTTTTACTTAAAACCCTCCAGAATTATTGAACCACATAGTATCAATCTGGTGGATGTATGTGTATAATGTATTTGGTATGCCGTCTCTTCTTCCCGGACGTTTTATTTGTGTGTTTTCAAACTCTGGGTTTAATTATTCCAACGTGGTAGTGGGACGGCAAAGAACTTCATCAGCCCATCCTTGCAGTTCTTGCCATCTTTTTCACCACTGGCAAAGTAATATGGCCTCCACTGAGTCAGCTCCACCTTGAAACCGTCGCCACCTCCCTGCATCTGATTCGCCAGCAGCTTGGCTTCGCTGAAGTCGCAATTGATGTAGCTCCACAGGTTCGGCAGTTGGTATACGCTGTAGCCGGAGTTCGCATCGCTCGGTGGATCGTACTTGAACACTGCAAAAGTTAAACCAAGAGCATGCACATAAGCATAAATAGTTGAGGTACGTATGCATGCATGGAATAATATCGAGCTATGGAATGGACATCTGTATGTCCAACCAACCATCGGTATTGTCATTGATAATGCGTCAATATCATTGTCACAAACCAAACAAACTGCCATGTTAATATGTTATCGTGCAATATAAATATAAGCATGTCTATTGAAATTCAAGAAGGGATGTCATGCACAGAGAATTTTGATGTTAAAGGATACTAACCTAGTTGGTCATTTATGTAAAAGGGACTGTTTTGGAGAGCCCAGTCAGTGTAGTTGTAGCCGAAACGCCAGCCTTCAGACCCTCCAACGACGACGGTTCTGGCCTCAGTCACTGCCAACAGAGAGGCAGCAGCTAGGAGGAGGATGAACCCTTGTGCATTAGAACTCAAAGCCATTGTTGCTCCTCTAGGGTTGTCCTTGTAAAAAATCTATACGCTTGAATGTGTGAGAAGGTGATGAGAAAGCATGAGAGGGTTATGGGGTTTATATAGGAAATCAAAAGTGATCAGATTTGCCTGTTTCTCTTTGGTTGGTAAAAATTTGAGGCTTTTGATTCAATTAAATTCAACATTTTCACATTTCTCAGGTTCCAGAAGCTGAATTTCAAAACCCTTTTTCTCATTCGGTAATTACTGAATTGCCAACCTTCAGATTACAGCATGCCTTACTCATTAGTTGATTGTGTGACAACAGGACCAGAAATCTGGAGGGGTAAAAGAGTAAAACTGATTGGTTGACAAGTGATTCTGGTCGTCGTAAATTTGGTAATTATCCATTCAGAGCAAGAATTTCATGTAAGTGCAATTATTCGTGGCGCATTAACAGTTTAGAGGTCAGCTATGGCAGGAGGGTGAGTGTTGGACCGTGGGTTGGTTTAGAGACGAGGGTTCAAGCGTCAACAATTTAACCGTAAATATAGACGGATTCTCTTATCCAACCAGGTCTTAATCTCGATAGTATTATTGTCAAATAATCACCTGCCATGTATTTAGAAATTCCGTTACATTTCCGATGACCAATTTTCATGTGTTTAGTTGGTGACATGGGAGAAACTCTCGTCCAATAGCGACTCAAAATCGTGCATGATTTTAATCATCATCTAAGCTAGACAGAAATCATGAATTTGTGTGTTAGTCATCCATATACATCAAATAAATGAAACAGTTCATCTTGATGATGTTACTCGTTACCAAAAGATCGATTTGTGTTATATATAAATCACTAAACAATCTCCAATTCGATTCAAATTGTGCAGGTATGAAATCTTATTAATAATAAAAGAAACTCAACAATTATGGATATGACTTTTGGACGAATAAAATATATTAATCATAACTAGGTCAACAATAGGTGCACCCATGATAAAAATGAGTAGACAGAAGTACCATCCATATATCATATCCTTAAGAATTAAACTGAAACTTCTCCCTCTCGGACCCTAACATAAAGCATCAGGCGCAAGTACGAGTGGGTCGAGTGATAAAATCTTAACTATCCAGAAATTCTTCCTGCAAACCCTAACGATGACCAGTAAGTGTAAGTGTGAGTGACTGGTCGACTGGTTGTATTGCTCTTGTCAACCCGCTCACTCATGCCAACGCACCTGATGCGCACAATTGGGGTTCGCACAGGAGACCTGTCTCGTAAACTAATGCTGCATTTTCAAAAGTGGTCAATGATCACAATAACTTCAGCAGCTAGCAGAGCAGCTGCCAAAAACTGTTGACTGATTTGGTGGGAAATGGCTAGAAATTAAAAAATCCCACATGCAGGAAAGGAATGATTTTGTTGCTTCTGCAAGCATATAATTCATCCAAGTCGCATTCATGAATACTTGAGGTCCACACTTGCTTTAATTCTCATAGCTGGTGGTAGTTTACAACTTCCAGATGAGTAACGCTAAATCTCCAGAATTTCAAGTTGTGGTAAATTTGTTTGTTTGCTTTCAGTTTAGTTGCAGAAAAAAGAACAACCAGTTCTACAGGATTTGCCACTTCACGAAAAATTACTATTCTAAACTACAAAGAACGAGATTGAAGTAATGCGCATAGGATGGAGCAAATCCGCCGTACAATTACTTTTTCCGTTAGATGGTTTAATTTGATCGAAAGAAAAAATGGCAATTCCTTAAGGAAAAAACTTGAATCGTTACACTAAATGCAAATCACAGTTTGACACGTTGTAGTGGTCGTTACAAAAATGCTTGATTGGTAATGTATGCGGCTAGGCTGAACTTACTCGTTTTCCTTTTCAACTAAACAAAGTTAAAGAGGCAATTCAAAAATTCAAAAGAAAGTCTCCCAAATTCATTTCCATCCTCCCAGAATCAATGACACCAACATCACAAAATGTATGCCTTCCCTGCTCTAATAATGTACCCAGCAACAGAGAACAGAAGAACATCAAAAAATCAAAAATTAAAAATTAAAAATTAAAAAATACAAATAATAGGATAGTTGTTACTTAATACCAAATCCAAAACCCAATAGCCAGAAATCAAACATTTACAGTTTGTGGGGGTTGAAGCTCAGATTCTTGCTGGGTTTGTGCTGGGTTTGCAGTTGGAGTGGAAGTAGCAGACATAATAGGCCTTGGAATCTGAGTGCTGATTCTTCCATCAATGCAGGATGAACATTTTGCTTCTGCCCAGCTCTCCAAATCGTAATGTCCGTACCCCAAAATACTCATCCCAGAGCAGAGCCTTCCAATCACAGCAGCAACCAAACCCAAAAGTGCAACCACCACAAGAACAGCAACAACTGCTCCAATGGAGCCATGAGGTGTGTGGGAACTGTTGGTGTTTTGCTGCAGCACAAAGTCTGGTGGAGATTGCTGGGTCTGATCAAATGGCCTTGACATTTTTCAGGCTGACCCAGATGAGGGAAATGCCGGGTTTTCTTCTCCTTTGTGCCTTGAAATGCTCCCCAAATGCTGCAAAAGTTTGAAGCTTTTTTGTGAGTTGCTCAAGAAATCAGAAAAGGTTTAGGGTTTTGTGGCCTATGGTGGGTAATGCATGGTTTCCTTTTTGGAATTTGGTTCTTGGGATGGTGGATTTATTCACTTGTTTGGAAGAAAAGGCCAGAAGTAGAGTTTATTCTCCTATAGAGAGAGAGTGTGGACTCACTGAAGAGAGAGAGAGAGATTGTAAACTTGTAAGATTCTGTTGAAGCATTTAGATATTGTGAACATTCTCATCAATTGATTTTTTATTTTACCCCTTTTGAGAGAAGAAATGTTTGGTAAGGTTGTCTAATTAGAACATTTTTCGTATCAAGTGAAATCAACGAAGGGTTAAGTAGCACCAAAATATCGGGGATCTTATGTTTGTGAGAGTTTCTCACGGGTGACGTGGTCCAGGTTCCCTAGTAAATACTGATGATTCTATGTTTGTGAGAGTTCTCATGGATGACAAGGCCTAAATTCATTACGCAAATTCTCTAGCAGAGATAAGGGAAACTTCGATAACAACTGTCTTATAGAGAGAGATGCGGTGAATCACACTTGTGTTTTATTTTTTATTTTTTATACAATGATATATTACACTAAAGGGATGGAATAATATATTAGTTGTGAAATCATCATTTTTGATATTTAAACTTAAGATATCTCATTTAAGCCATCTCCAATCATAGAGGGCTAAATCTAGCCCTTGGCTATGTTTTATTCGCCTTCATATTTTGTTACTTTTGAGCCAAATTTAGTGTGCTCTGAGACTACTGCTTGTGTTGAGGCAAAACTTAGCTTGATTCTTAACTCCTACTTCCATCATATTTTCTAAATTGATGTTCCAATATATTCATGTCATTTCTTTTATCCCAATTCCTTTTAGCCCGTTGATTAGAGATTGATTTTGTCAAATTTAGAGCTAAATATGGCTTGTAATATTTAGTTGAAGATAACTTTAGAAGTGAATAAAAATACGATTAGATTGTAGTACAATTGTGTTAACTAAGCAGCCCAACTATCCTCGGCAACAGGAGAATTACCACCAAGCAGCCGTATAAAAGACTCCAACCCTTTTTCCATCAATTTTGATAGTACTGAGATCTGCTGTTTTTGATATATTGTATATAATCGTGAATGTCCAAAGAAATAAGGAGTTTAAAAATAAAAATTAGGGGCACAAAGAATTAGTCATTTTTCAATTAGAGGAACCGAAGGGGGAAAAAAAGGACAAAAGCAAAGTAAAAAGTAACCGGAAAAGTTGGAATCTTGGAAGCGTAAAAACACTTTCCAAGAGAAGCACTTTTCGGAAAAACGTCATTGTGCTTTTTCAGCTCCTTTTCTGTCACCGTATGAAGAAATTAGGAGGTAGATTGTGTGCCCTCCTGTTTGGGTGCTCTTTCTATCCCCTATTATTTTGTGCGATCACGGTTAAGCCACGTTAATATTTTATATTAATTTTTTATATATAGATAATAAGACAAAAAACAATAAGAATATAAAATGTTGACGTGGCTTAACAGTTACCGCACAAATAGAAGGGGATGAGAAGGGCATCCAAACAGGAGGGTAGTCTGCCTCCAAGAAATCATGCTAACAATCTTTAGAATTTCAAAGTTGAAAACCCTCTCAACAAAGATATTATTATTGTGTCCTATTTTATCTGACAAGGGAAGGGAGCCGACGACATAGAGAGAGAAAATAGAGAAAAATGTGTTTTAGTGTAGAGGAATGTGTGTTAATCCCCCTACACAGTGCCTTTATTTATAGTAATAAGAGAGAAGAAATTCTTCTCCTCCAAGTAATATAAGTCTATATAGGAAAGAATAACTAGAATCAAATCCAACATAGGATTTGCACAATCACACCTAAATAAGAAGTTTATAACACTCCCTCGTGAGTGTAAATACTCAAGTAGATTTAGCATCATGTATAGGTTGAGGAAGTCGACTTGTCGGCATTGATTTTGGGAACACGTTATTCTCAATAAGGTAGGAACTTGCATAAGGAAGTAAGTCTCACAAAAAACCCTATGGCTATGGTAAAAACCCAAGTAGGGACAAAACCCATAGTCTAAGGAAAAATGCATGAGAAATGCAAAGTTAAATGAAACATCTACGGGACATGATCATGGATTTGATCAACCCAAGGTGGGTGCCTCGTTACAAACTAGTTAGGTAGCAAAAACCCAATGGAAAAAATACTCATAATCGTAGGGAAAAAGAGTACATTAATGTAACGACCCGTCCCCAAAAATTATAGTTTTTATACTTTTAAAACGTGAATTTACAAAAATGCTAATCGAGGGAAACACGTTGACTTTCTTGACCACCTTGTTGTGTGACGTAAGATTCGTTTTCTTGGCGTATCCTCATAGTACTGTCGTTACGAACACATGGGCGCAAACGAAACACAATTTGGAGTTATAATGAAGAAGTTATTAACGAATGAAGTTGATGACAAAATGGTCAATTAATTATTTTCTAGAAGGCTCCAGATTTTGGAGCAATATCTGATTGAGCCACGTGTGTGGCCCAGATTGAAAGAAAGGAGAAACAGATAGATGAGAGAGAAGATAAAAGAGAGGAAGAAGGATGGGCACTGCCCAATCAGGAAATAAGAGAAGAGAGGGGACGGATGAGAAGAGAGAACAAGGAGGGAAATGAGGGAGGAGAAAAGGAGGGGAACTACTGGTTGGGTTCCCCTTGACCCGCGTGATGACCCGATTTCCTTGAGGTTTCCCAATTGTTTTCCGTCCAAATTTCTGGCTTTCTTCCACCTCCCATCACCACCAAACCTCACCACAACACCCCAACACCTAATTCTAACCACACCCGACGAATTTAGCCCTGATGGGGTGAGAAAACCCACTGATGGGTCCGGGTGGGTGTCGGCCTTGAATCACCATTTGTGAAACAATTTCTTTTGATCTCTACTACCATTAGACTCTCCTTGAACCCATGAACAAACACCAACCAACCTTGGAAGCGGTGAAGCACCGAAGGAGTCGAATTGGAGCCACCAATTTTTAGGGTTTCTGACAGGTTCTAGTGAAATTGGGGCTTCTCTCGGCCGAATTGGCCTTAATCACAAGTATGAAAGTTATTCCTCTCATTGAGATATTCATTCCTGTAAAATTTGGGAAATTTTGGAGTTGTTCAATTTTCCAACAACTCGGGCCGGCTGGCTGCCATGCGTGGCGACACGTGGGGAAAAAACCCGAGGTCTTTCCTTAGATTTTTTGACATGCTGAATCTGAATCTGCCATCCATTTTCCCAAATTATAACATTTTAGTAGAGTTTTACTAAAAGGTCCTTAATTGTGTTTAGGCGCGTTGGCGGGAAGTGATCACATTCTCTATAATTCGAGCGGCTTGTGAATGGACCCCTTCATAACTTATATATTTTTATAAAATATTGGCCTAGCATGCATTTCATATTTCGTGCATTTAATATGTTTTATATTATGTTTTCCGGATTTTTATAATTATGGTTTATATAGAATTCATGATTTAATTAAGTTGCTTTACGAAATATTATGATTTATTGAAATTGCGTCATGCATATGTCTTTGGATGAAGATCATGGTAGTGGCTTTCTCAGCTTCGCCAACCGGGTTATCTGTCTCATCTTCAATGGTGGGACACAAATTCTTTGCAATGAGGTGGAGCTTCACATCATTGGACCTACTTGAGGTAGTTCTTTCCATAAACCTCCAAAGCGGTAAAGTCGAGTTTGTTCAAATTCGACATGTTCCTATCACAAATAGATAATGGAGAAAAAATCAATCCATTCACATATGAGTAGAACATTCAGGTTCTAATAGACATGTATTGGTTTAAATTCGCATGAAAAAGCTTCGGATTTTCATGGGTAATGTTTTTAAGGAAAACTTCAGGTTTTCAAACAAGGCATGTTTCTAGAAACTTTAGGTTTCGAAATAATTATGAAATTTAGGTTCATATGTTTCTGTAGACAAACACAAATATATAACAAGAAAATATGCATATAGAACTTCAGGTCTATAATTATAATTTAATTAATTATTTGGACTTCAGGCCAAATTTAAAGTGTGGGTGAAAGATTGTAAACCCAAAATTATCTAAAAAAATGGACAATTAAGCTCGAGGCCAAAAACATGGGCCAAAGCCCATAGGTGGTCTAGGCCCAAAAATGGGCTGGAGGGGGGGTTAGGCATGAGCTAATCAGGTCCCTAAAATAATTTGGGCTGCATGCCCAATGCAGAAAATGGGCTGCAAGAAGGCTGGGTCCAATGTATAAACCCAAATAGGGCGCTGATCAGGTGCAGTGGGTACGAATACACCAGCGAAGCTGGGACTCGGTGTCTCAGAGTGTAAGGGGTGCACAACAACCGTGTAGGCTGGGTTCCACTGTAGCAGGGACACGAGGGACACCAAAAACATGGGCTGGTGTCGCGGGCTGAGTCCAACAGAGGCCCAATTGGGCTCTGTGATACGGGCTGAAGAAAGTATCAAAGCCCAAAGGGTTGATACTTGCCAAGAAACAAGCCAAGCCTAAGTGGGCTTGGGTTTGCTTTAATCCAAACACCCCAATGTGAGTTGGGTGAATTTGTTGGAGAGGGAGACCGGCACCACCGCTTCAGGCTGTCATGTCGTGGTGCAAAAATCACAGTGAAAGCCGTGGGTTCAGCGGCAACCCATAAAATCGAACGGAGAGTGAAAAACTCTCAACGTTGTAAAACCCTAGAAATTTTAGATTTTAATTTCAAAGGAAAAAAAACTGAATTTCAAGCAAGAACTTCGTCGGGGAGGAATTCAGGTCATAAGAGAAGTAGCTGAAGATGGCTGAGCATGGCTCTAGGCCATTCTAGTCGATGGTTTCAAGATGGGCGACGCCGTCTGGGCGTCGGGTCTAGGTTTTGGGCTTGGAGCTATGGCTCTAGGTTGGGTTCTCTGCTCGTGGGAAAAACGTGGGTGGCCCATTGACATGGATGGGTTTCAACGAAACCCTAAACAAAATCCTTTATAATTTTTGTTTTCAATATTAATTCAATGCATATTCATATAGTTTAATTTAATACATGAGCAGTTATAGGATGCAATTCATGGCAAATTCACATAATTCATCAATTATGGATATAATGCATACACAATTTATGTTGAATTTAAGATTTGAAAAATGTAAAGTTGGTTTATGCATTATGGTGAATGTTCATGCTATTAGGGTTGCAAAAATATCGAGATAA